CCCGACGGTAGAACGGTCCAAGAAATGCAAGTTGCTGCTGCAGTCAGCTTACCACACTCAAGGCGATACAGACCGGCCCGCTTTGTCAGCCGGCCCCTAGAGTTTCAACACTCCCTATACGGTCACCGCCCGCTAGATCATATGACATACCTTAAACGGTGACTCAAACAGTTATCGTCCGGACCGAGCATAAAGCACTGCAGTGGCTACAGAACGTGAAGGGTGCACAGGGTCAACTGGTCTTACAGGAATTCACACTTACAGCCACGTCACAGCACGCCTTCGCCCCCGAGCAGAGAATAATCGAAGAAGGCCGCATAGCTGCTGCAGCAGCCAGCTTCCCAGCATCAACACGCAGTGACAGCTTCCACATCTTTCAACCGGAGGATAAGAATTCGGAAAAGTGGTCCGTCCTACGTTACGATCCGCGCGAGCAGCAGCAACCTCAGAGAGCGCGAGGTGTTGCCGGCCGCGGCATAGGAGAAAAGGCAACGCACCAGAGGCATTCACGAAGGTTGAGTTACTGCGCCTTCGTATAAAGCAAACCCCAGGCCAGCGCAGTCATACCTCTGACGTTGCTATCTGTCGGCGGATCGTAATGCAGGACAGACTCTTTTCTCCGATTCTAATCTTCCGTTCAAGAGACGTAGAAGACGTCACACGCTGCTGGCGGTTGGCTGACTGCTACAACGAATAGCTCCTCCTCGATCGCATCAGTCATGCGCACTTGCACCAAACTGAAACAATAGCAATTTCATCAGTTTCACACCAAAGAGTTCGTCGCTCATATGTCAGCCGACACTGTGCTCAAATTGCTTAGAATGCATGACCTACCAGTTGAATCTGCAGAGGAGGTGGTTAATGCTATTTCGTTTTGGGTGTGCCCTTGTGTTACCGTCGATCAAGAGAGGCTGGAATTGCACCCTGCGTTGATGTTGACAGAATTAAGATGGGGCCAGACAACTGCTTAATTCAGAGAGCATCTTCGCGATAAACTTTCACATATTCAAGAAGTTCAAAGAATGTCTCTAAGTATACATATATAGTTGAATACTGTCTTTATTTTAATGGCCACTGTTCCACGATGAGCAGTATATCCGCGCTCAAACCATGAACGAGCCTGTGTCCGGCCAAGTCAGAGGGCGCTACGACAACTCGCCCTTCTTCGATGTTTCTCCCCTCTCGGGTGCCACACTGTGCGATCACGTACTGTGACGTTGCCTTTCTTCGTTGTCTGCCCTCCGACGATGCCTCAAGAAAAGCCGTTGCAACGCCTTCATCGACCTTTCGTTGCCTTTCTGTTACCGCGGTTCACGCCAACTGGAGTCTGCGCGTGGTGGAACTAATGGAGGGTGTTCCAGCATTGAAAGCCACCATTAGCGATACAACGCCTTTAACTTGGCCCACAATGCCTCTGAAGTAAGCCCTCCCCCCCTTCTTTTGTGTTTTGCACTAGCTAGCTTCGCAACGGCCTTTTATTAATTATCTATATGCGGGGAGGAGGCGTTACCTTAGGGGAAGCCAACGTAAGGGGGGTCACAGACCTGGCACGCACGCTGGAACTCCTTGGCCTAGTGGATGGGGGAGTAGAGTTTATGGTCAGGAGTCAAATATTCTGCGGTTATATCTGCCTAACTGACCGCTCGATAGATTGCAGTTTGTTATATTACCAATCTATATCAGAGAGGCTACGAGATGGCAGTCCCCGTCTCAGCGTCTCACATCTTCTACCTGACTGGATGGGTGGCTGAGGATGATTCCAAATACTGCGTCCTACGGCCGCCTCAGATTGCCGCAGCCCTTTTCTTGGCTATAGTCCTTCTATTCCTGACTGCATTCACCGAGTCAGGAGCTTTCCAAGAAGAAGATGAACTAGACGACGACGGTCAGGTCGGAGGTGAAGGAGTTTCTGCTACCTAGAGGGCTAAAGACGAGAAGGCAGGGCCAAGTCAGAGCAAATTTTCGCACGCAGCGGCACCCAAAGT